ATATATTAAAAAAAAAAAAAAAAGAGCAAGTTGGGCTGGAAGGAGAGGGCGGCAAGAGGGTGTTAGAACGCACACATGTTGGAAGACTGGAAGACGCACCCTGGCCGGTTTGGCTCAGTAGATTGAGCATCGGCCTGCGGATTGAAGGGTCCTGGGTTTGATGGTTACGTCGCCATCTCCCATTTATTTATTAAAAAAAAAAAAAAGTTCCGTCATTTCGACATATGTTCGTATGTGCTTTTTCTTTTTCATTATCATTTATTTACCACAAGTAAAGGTCAGGAATTGTTATCTTTTAAATTTTTTTTACTGTTTCACTTCATGACTGCTGTGTATGTGCTCCATGTGAGTGATGTAGGTGCTTATGTAGGTGGGTTCCGACTTAACGGCAAAAATCACGTTACGTCACGCCGTAGGAATGGATCTCCGACGTAACCAGAGGACCTACTGTATTGTGAACAGAGCTGAGACCATGAAAGATGCAAAGGAGGCACTGAGCCCTAGCTGGTTTGGCTCAGTGGATAGAGAGTTGGCCTTCGGACTGAAGGGTCCCGGGTTTGATTTGGGTCAAGGGCACATGCCCGGGTTGTGGGCTCGATCCCCAGTGTGGGGTGTGCAGGAGGCAGCCAATCAATGAATCTCTCTCATCATTGATGTTTCTATCTCTCTCCCCGTCTCCTTTCCTCTCTGAAATCAATAAAAAATTTATTTAAGAAATACTAAGGCATTGAAAACATCTTAAAAAAACAAAACAAAACAAGAGGCACAGAGAGGCTAAGAGAGGTCACAAAATTCAGGCCCTAAAACACATGCATTTTGCTCAACAGGAGAGCCTCGCAGGTCATTCCTTAAAGGTATTTATTTTATGTGACAATTTTATTTTAACTGATTTCTTTTGTTATCTGGTTTCTAGGCCCATAGTAGCAAATTAAAAAGAAGTAAGAGAGGCAAATAATGGTAGGCAATTAAACAGTCGTGGGAAATGATGAAGAAATAAGAGAAGAGCTGATAAATATTATGAAACGAAAAATGCATAAAGTACCCATCCAAAAAAAACCCCCAAAAGACCAAGATCCCCAATTGAAACAATGACCAGAGAGAATCCAGACAATAAGCCACGTTTTAAACACACCCACAATCAACCAGAATTCAAAGAAATGCAAAATTCTTAAATGAGATTCTTTTTTTAAACTACTAAGCTCAAAAATATCAAAGATTATTTTAGTATTCATTGATGGAAAGGAAGTAGTGAGATAAGTAAGCACTTTCATACACAAGTGAAAAATATTTTGGCAACATATAAAAAAGTTAAAAAAATTTTCAACTAATACGAAAAACAGTATGTCAGTTCCTCAAAGAACTAACAATATAACCATCTAATGATCTAGCAATCCCACTTCTGTGTATACATCCGAAAGAATTGGAAGCAGGATCTCAAAGAGGCATTTCCACCTTCATGTTCACGGCAGCATTATTCACAATAGCCAAGGGGTGGGAACAACCCAAACGGCCATCGATGGATGAATGAATAAACAAAATGTGGTTTATATATACAATGGAGTGTTATTCAGCCTTAAAGAGGAAGGAAATGTCACATGTTACAGCATGGATGACCTGTGAGGACAGCATGGTAAATGAAATAAGCCACTCACCAAAAAAAGAAAAAATAAGACAGAAAAGCAAAATGGTGGCTGCCCGGGGCTTAGAAATGGGAATAAATTATTTAATGGGTTCAGAGTCTCAGGGTTTTTTTCTTATTGTTGTTTGTTTTTAAATATTTTTATTGGTGTTTTTTTTTTTTTAGAGAGAGAGGGGAAGGAGAGAGGGAGAGAGAAACATCGATGTGAGAGCGGAACAGGGCCAGAGACTCAGTTTTACAAGTTGTCTTTGTTTAGAAACAGAAGAAATGAAAGAAATGGCTTCCTGTTTTAAAGAGGAAAAATTAAAGTGGGATCCACACAGCAGGTGTGAAAATGTCCCGAGACAAATGTTCCACAAACAAGGAAAAGAAATACTTCCTGCTGATAAGAGACAATTGATTCTGAGTATTAGGTCTAATTCTACACATAAATACATATAAACAGATAGAAAAATATAAAAATGATCATCCCGCTAAGAGAAGTAAAGGCAATAATATAAAGATGTGAATGCATAAATTAAAAATAAGTAAATGCATAGATTTAAAAAATCAATGTACGAAATGAAGTTAAAAAGCAAATACTTACTGATTCACTTGTAGGTCCTCGATTTCCAGAAGAACCCCCTTTTCATGTAATCGCGCCGCCGTGTATTTCAGAGAAATCTTTTTGCTTTTCTTTCCTTTCATTTCCCTCGGCTTCTTGGAGACCCTGTAAAGATGACATCACGTCACTTTCTATAACTATCTACTTTGATTCTGTCGGTAATTCGAAAATATGGGATCAGAAAACGAACTTCCCATCCACAAGGGGAAATAACATCAACTCTAAAATGGCAAATAAATGTTAGGATTAGCCTAAGCAATATCATTACATAAGTTGATTTTGTCTTTAATTTAAATTACATTTGAGAACACACCATGAATCTGACAGTGTCTTAATCTTTCTATGTGCACCTACCAGGAAGTGTGGGGGCTTCTAAGGCCAGCTTGGGGGAACATACTGACCCCCAGGGGGTCACTCTACACCCCTCGGCTGTGCAGGGGAGAAACAGAAACATCTCAGAATAAGTACTTTTTAAAAGAGTTTAAGCCTGGCCCTCACCGGTTTGGCTCAGTGGACAGAGCGTTGGCCTGCGGACTAAAGGGTCCCAGGTTTGATTCTGGTCAAGGGCACATGCCCAGGTTGAGGGCTCGATCCCCAGTAGGGGGCGTGCAGGAGGCAGCCGATCAATGATTCTCTCTCATCATTGATGTTTCTATCTCTCTCTCTCCCTCTCCCTTCCTCTCTGAAATCAATAATATATATATTTAAAGAAAAAAAGAAGTTACTGGGATAATTGAGACCAGAAGTGATAAGAAAAATAAGCAAAGGAAAAATAGAGACAAATGAAAACCAGGGATTTGGGACTCTAAAGGCGGTGAGGGGTGTCTCAGGAAATGGGGCAGAAATGCTGGCAGGAGTGTAAGAGAGAATCCCTCTGGAAGGAAACTGAAATATCTATCAAAATTGCAACTGGACAAAACTTTTGACCCAGTAATTCCACTTCTAGGAATTTATCTTTAAAAATATGCCCTGGCCGGTTTGGCTCAGTGGATAGAGCGCCGGCCTGCAGACTGAAGGGTCCCAGGTTTGATTCCAGTCAGGTCACATGTCCAGATTTCGGACTCAAACCCCAGTAGGGGGCGAGCAGGAGGCAGCCAGTAGATCAATGATTCTCTCTCATCATGGATGTTTCTCTCTCCCTTCCTCTCTGAAATCAATAAAAATACATTTTTAAAAAATATGCTCACATTTGCAAAATGATATGTGTATAAGAGGTTATTTGTTGCAGAATTTTAAAAAATAAATAACTGGAAAGAACGTAAATGCCCACCAATGGAGAATTGATTGAGCCCGTTGTTATATCTACCTACACAATGAAATACTATACAGCCATTAAAAAGGAAATGAGAACCTGGCTGTCTTAGTGGACCTAGAAGCAATGACGACTCCGTGGCAATGCGCACACTTAGTCCCTAGATATTGGTCTCTAAATTCCATTCTTCATTAAAGGGAGCCAGGGATGTTGGGAGAAAAAGCTAATTCCCAGCCTGGGGAGGGGAAGTACAAGTTGAACCAGAAACACCTTGTGCTGTAAAGTCAGGAAGTTCTCAAGAACGATGGGGCATGTCAGAAGGACACAGGCGCCAGCCCCGCCAGCTGGGCGAGCTGGACCTGGTGTTTGAGAGAGGAAGCTGATACGGCAGAATGAAAACAGAAGAATCTCGGCAAAGGGTCTGTGGGTCTTTACTGTTCTATTCATTCACCTTTTCTGAAGCTTGAAAATTCTTAAAACGAAAAGTTAGGAGCAAAAGAGAAACTAACCTACAAGTAGGGCCTACACTGATCAGCTCGCCTCTCTGGGTTTTGAGTTTCCCTCCCCACGGAGGGTCAGGCTGGCGGTTCCGGCTGGTGCATCACACTCCTCAGCAGCCAGGAAAGTCAGGGACTGGGGCCCCGTCCCCAGGAGCTAGAGGGTGAGGCTGAGGAACGCCATGTTTAATATTCCTTAGGCGATCTTGAGGCACAGACAGGGTGTGGGACCACGAGATAATCTCCATCCTGATTCTTTAATTTCTGGGGCCAGGAAGCCATTTCAGAGCAAGAGATGCTTAGAAACAAGTACCCCTCACAGTGCTTATCTGCATCGTATAATGGCAAATGGGACTAGGAATTTACAAAGATGATTAGAAGATCAGAAGCAAAATAAAGAACGGATGCAATAAAGAGGTCCAGTGTGTTCTAAGTTAAAAAATCCCCAGCCCTAGCTGGTTTGGCTCAGGGGTGGAGCGTCGGACTACAGACTGAAGGGTCCTGGCTTCGGTTATGGTCAAGGGCATGTACCTCGGTTGTAGGCTCGATCCCCGGCCCTGATCAGGGTCCGTGTGGGAGGCAACCAATTGATGTGTCTCTCTCACATCGATGGAACTCTCTGTCTCTCCCCCTGCCTCCCACTCTCTCTAAAAATCAATGGAAAAATGTCCTTAGGTGAGGATTAACCAAAAAAAACAACAACATGAAATGCCAATTTAGTTAACAGTTGGAGCCAAAGTTCTGTTTCCGGTAATAGTGAATCCTGGACAGGTGAGACCAGATCTACCCAGACTTCCCGAGGTACTGACAGCCCCCAATTAAAATGATGGTAGAGGCTTTCAGCACCTGCCTCCATCGTACCTGTAAAGGCTTTGTAGATCTTATTATTTTTAAATTCATTTTAAGACTCACCCATTCCTAATTTATATTTCTACTCGAAGAAATGCTATCTGAATGCGATAAATCTTTAAAAGACACACTTACTTGCCCCTGCTGGCCAGGTTGTCCAGGCAGGTTTTGATGTAGCTTTTGTAGTAATCCACCTGCTCTCCGTAGAACGTGGCCTTGGAGTTCAGAGCAGCATACGTTTGCTGCAGTTTCACCAGCTCGGCCTTCCTCCTCTGCCGGTATCTCCGCTGATTCCGGATATCCTGGGATGCAAGTGTGAAAATGAGGAAAACAATGTCCGATATCCTGTGCCCCTGGAATCATTAACAGCAGAACCCAGCCGTCCTTCACTATGCCTCGAGTGACCACCCATTCTTAACGGGCCGCCCGCAATTCATGTTCAATAATCAACAAAGAAACTCAGATGGCATCCATTTCCCCCCCCAATTTGTATTTTCTAAAGGTGGGGAAATGCGTTACTTTTATGGACTTCCACGTTCTTAGAATTTACATGCAAAGCTGGTTTAAGCCTTTTAAATATGTTGTCAGAAGAAGGAGAAAAAGATAAGGAGTTGATGATCAACTCAATGTCAATTTCGGTTTCACAGAAATCAGTAGAAAGATCTGGAAACTTCCAAAGGGGTCAAAGACAAATTGAGACATGGGACGCTCTAGCTCCGTCTTCTTCCTGTTAATTTAGGCTCTGAAATAAGTTATCAAAGGGCGGGCCAGGTCCTCGTGTTAGAAGAATCAGAAACGATTCTTCAGGCGAGAGGACGCTGGTGTGCCATGACCTGGAGATACGCTGTCATCTGAACAGCGACTGGCTCTTTAGAAGCCTCTGGGAGAGCGTGAGGCATGGCCAGGCCCCGCCGCCCCCGTGCAGTACCCTGGCGATGTCGTTGATCAGCTCCTGGTACCGGTTCTTCGGGTTCACGGTCCCCAGCTCCGTGAGCTTCTTCAAGCCCGCCTGGATCTTGTCCTTCTTCTCCTGCAGGCTCAGGTTGCTGTCTTCCTTGACTGATTTGGACTTTTTCATCTTGTCAGGCGTTTTGGCGTCACGGATCGCGCGTCTCTGCATGGCCCTCTGATGCTCTGCTTCCTACACGTAAGAAGTTCCCGGTAAACGCAGTGCACCAGTCCCACACCTGAATTTACGCAGCTCTCGAGCTGCATTCTGGGAACGGGGGGGCGAGGATGGGGGGGTGTGGTGGGACAAACCTAGGCGGCAGCTGACAGAGAAACTGCATGAGGCAGAGGCACATTGCTTTACATCTTTTCTTTTTTTTTAATTATATTTTAAATCTTTATTCTTTTTTCATTGATTTCAGAGAGGAAGGGAGAGGGAGAGAGAGAGATGGAAACATCAATGATGAGAGAGAATCATTCATCAGCTGCCTCCTGAGCTCCCCCTACTGAGGATTGAGCCTGCAACCTTGGCATGTGCTCTTGACCGGAATCGAACCCGGGACCCTTCAGTCCACGGGCTGACGCTCTATCCACTGGGCCAAACCGGCTAGGGCTGCTTTACATCTTAAAATATATATATATTTTTTGTTGATTTTTTACAGAGAGGAAGGGAGAGGGATAGAAAGCCAGAAACATCGATGAGAGAGAAACATCAATCAGCTGCCTCCTGCACACCTCCCACTGGGGATGTGCCCACAACCAAGGCACATGCCCTTGGCCGGAATCGAACCCAGGACCGTTCAGCCCACAGGCCGACGCTCTATCCACTGGGCCAAACCGGCTAGGGCTGCTTTACATCTTTTAATCACTTGGCTTCTTAGGGCTTCTGTCCTGAACTCTTAGGTACAATTAGGAGATTGGGCTCCACTGGCTACAAAATCCCTCGTTTTTCCCCCATCACCATTTGAGACACAGGAGCCACCTCATGTTATTTGAAACGCAGCTCGATAAATGTTGTAACTACACCAGGGCAACACCAGGGCTCAGTCCCTTCTTGCTGATTCTTTTTGCCACCTGTCGGTGCTGAATCACGCTCCGGCCTTCCCTCTGCTGTTAAACATGCTGTAAGGCCACAATCTTGAAAATACAAAGGCTTTCCCTTCACTTTTCTAGGTTTCCCAGTCAACACCCAATGTTTGCCCAGTATGTCCCTGCCCGACACAGGACCCACACCTGCTGTTCAATTCACTCAGCACTTTTGTCTTTAACTCTGCAAGTGGCTTCTCCATCTCCCACTCTCCTCACCAATCACCATTCCCCAAATCCTTTTCCTAATTTCCACCTCGCTCGTCTCTGAATTTTCTTCTGGCGCTGAGTAGGGGTTTGGTGCCTGCAAGTGACCGGTGGTCACTTTTCTGTAATGTCCCCTCTCAATATTTCAGTGATCACCTCTGTGCTGATGGATCCCTCATCTCTGTCACTGGGGCTCCAGTGCCAGGTTCTGAGCTGCTTGTACGGAGATGCTCACGTGGGGAAGGCTTATAATCCCTCCCAAACGGGAGCGTTTCCCTTTCCCATGCTGCCTTTCCCCCGATGGCCAGGCTCCTCTGCATCACACGATGCCAGAAGCACACACTCTGGAGTCAGACAGCTGGATCCCGTCTGGTTCTGCCGCTACAGGCAGACGATCGATCGTAGGCAAGTGAGTTAACCCCTCGGGTTCTCAGTTTCCTCATCTGTAAAATGAGGATAAACAGACTCCCCTCCTGGGGAAAGTGCAAGGATTCCATGGAGGGACACAGGGGAAGGCACCCCACCAGCGTCAGGTCCTCAGTAAAGACGGGCCCCCTCCCCCCACGTCTAACCTCCCTGCAGGTTAAACAGGATGCAGTTATTGGTGACATCTCTTTACCTCTTTCTTGCCCCTCACACACATCTATCTCTTCAGTAATCAATCACAGCAGAGAATTCATTTAAAACCGTGTTTTTTAAACAGTCCTCTGTGCACCCTGCTCACACACATCTATCTCTTCAGTAATCAATCACAGCTGCTAAATGCGGAGAATTCATTTAAAACGGTGTTTTTTAAACAGTCCTCTGGGCACCCTGAAGGGACTCCCAGAGGTGCTACAGGGTTCTAGAAAGCGGGGCTCCCGGGCCCCATTCCTGCTGCTGTCAGAGTAGCTCCAGTTTTTCCTGCTTTATAAACTGGGCTTCCAGCCAGAAGGTGTGGCTCAGCGGTTGAGCGCCAACCCAGGAACCAAGAGGTCACTGGTTTGATTCCTGGTCAGGGCACATGCCAGTAGGGGGCACTCAGGAGGCAGCCAATCAATGATGTTCCTCTCTCACCAATGTTTCTCTCTATCCTCCTCCCTTCCTTTCTCTAAAAATCAATAAGAAGACATATATAGTTTTTAAATTGTGCTTCCAAGTAAACTGTCACTTAATGGAAAGGATTCTTATGTTCAAAATCTGAAAACGAATGACTTGACCTACTTCTCTCCTTTTATGAGAACGTGAAACAGGAGCCTTAAACATGAAGTGACTCATCCACCCCTCCTCACTGCCACGCCGCCCCCACCACCGGCCTGGGACCTCATCACACACCTAGATGACTCACCACCATCTGCTCTGATGGCGCTACCAAATCAATCTGCACTAAACGTCCCCAAGGCTCTTCACTCCTCTCTCCAGGGCCAAGTTCCTGCCCAGGTTTTGGTGCTACATAACTTGTCCTCAGGTTTTAGCTCTCCCTGCTCTCCTCCGCCCAGGCCTTCCTTCTAGAGATGCAGGCCTGGCCACGTCACACCCGCCCTTTGTGCCTCCGTTCCCACGCTCCCCCCACCCCTCCCCGCCTGGACTGCCCGCCCCTCTCGCCTCCATCCCATCCATCCTGAGCGTGGCTCCCGCTCCACCTCTTTCTGATGCCTTGCTCTTTGCTGGCCTCTTTCCTGAACGTCTAGCACAGCGGTTCTCAACCTTCCTAATGCCGCGACCCTTTAATACAGTTCCTCGTGTTGTGGTGACCCCCAACCATAAAATTATTTTCGTTGCTACTTCATCACTGTCATTTTGCTACTGTTAGGAATCGTCATGTAAATATCTGATATGCAGGATGTATTTTCATGGTTACAAATTGAACATAATTAAGGAATAGTGATGAATCACAAAAACAATATGTAATTATACATGTGTTTTCCGATGGTCTTAGGCGGCCCCTGTGAAAGGGCCGCTGGTTTAAAGGCTCCTTCATCACTTCTGGATCATGAACTTGTGGAGTTCAGGAGCCACATCCTGTACTTTTATTCTACCTATAAGGCACCTAACAAAATTCTAACTGTATAATTAATACTCAATAAACTACCGGGCAGATGCACTGATTCTGCCTGGAGTTCAATGAACACACGCACATACATGTATGTACAGCATGTACGCGCCAGTGAGCTGCCTCTGGCGTTAGGAGCCGGCAACCTTCTCCACCAGCCTTACCCACCGCCGCCCTCTGTCCACCCCCAGGTCACCACCTCGTGTTACCTGTGTCCCCCCCCGCCCCCCATCCCGGGAGCATCTCTGCCTTGTTAGGGTCCATGTTAAACCCCTCAGTTTTACCTGTTCGCTGGTGGCTGGTGTTTCCAGGATTTCAGTCAAGGTCTCCCCTGGCTGGAACCGGATGACGTCCACAATTAAACGCTTTGTGCTGGGAGGAAATGGAGGGAACATTTAAATATTAGCAGGTGTTCTACTTCCTCTCAATGGACCGACACGGCAGCGGCATAATCGCCGCCTCCCGGAGGCCCTGCCAGGCAGCTGCTAACACCAGGTACTCCAGACCCCAGACTGAGTCGGGCAACTCTAACAGAGCGGGTGCCAAGGCTGGGATCTCCAAGAGGGAAACTTGAGCGTCTTATTGGCAAACAAGGCAGATCCGTCCTAGGCCGAGTGTAACATGTGAAGGGACCACCATGATGACTGGCTTCAAGGCCAAGGGGACCATTTCGGGTATAGGCAAGTGGGCGTGTTCACCGGGGCCGAGGGGTCGCTGGAGTCCGTGGACTGCGTTCTTCCCACTTCCGACACTCACTTCAGTAAGATGGTCCGCGCGTCCATTTCCGCGTTCTCGTCCCCAGGCACGTCGAACTTGTTGGTCAGTGTGAGAGACACTTCCGTCTTAGCCAGCGCCTCCTTATTGGGGTCGTTTAAACTGCCAGCGCCTTCTCCTAAAGTTTTGGGAGGGTGGGAAGGATCAGTAAAGACAGGAGATTTGGGAGAGGAGATAGAAACTCCCAGAAAAGATGATGCCCGTGTAAGGAGATACTTGAATAAGCCAACATGACCCTGGGGCAGGGCCACCTCTGATTAAGAAATAGAAGAAAACAGGTGATAAAGGTGGGGTCCAGAGTAAACTCATTTCATAGACGTCTGACAGTCATTTCAACACTGCATTATAACCCTAACCCTAGCCCAGTGATGGCGAACCTATGACACCTCTGACACGCGAACTCATTTTTTTGGTTGATTTTTCTTTGTTAAATGGCATTTAAATACATACACAGGCAATGATACAAGACACTGTTTTGGGTGGCAGCTGCGGACAAGATATTTTTACTCAGTACTTTGACTCTGGTGTTCATTTTCCAGCCTTGAAGATTTTTGGGGGGCTTTACCTGAGTCAGAAAAATCTCAGTAAAAGGTACAAAGCGTTATCCTCAAGAGTAAACACTTCTGAATTTGTCCTAGAAAAATGTGAATTGGTCTCTAGCAGAGCATTCTTTTTTTCAGGCAGGGATAATAATGATAATGATTAATGTTTTATTTATAATGTTAGCCAGAGAAAATGCAAGGTTGCTGCTTCAGAAATCTTCCTGAGAAATCAAAGAGAGAGGATTCCTCCCTTCTTGGGAAAGGCAATTTTCATTGTTGTAGCCAAAGGAGGCTCAGGAACACCTCTGGTGTGCCTTGGGCCTACTCTGTGTTCCAGGCTGCTTTTTGTGATTGATCACAGAGGTTTGATGTGGGCCCAGGACGATGCTGATGGAAAAAGGATTTCCCGAACTTCAGAGCTGATCCTCAGCTGCATAACTGTGCTCTATTCAACAGTGGTTCCCATCATGCCAGGCACATAGTAGTTGCTCAAAAATATTTGTTAAATTTAAAATGTATTTTCATTGATTTCAGAGAGGAAGGGAGATGGATATAGAAACATCAATGATGAGAAAGAATCATTGATAGCCTGCCTCCTGCATGCCCCCTCCTGGGAATGGAGCCCACAACCCGGGCATGTGCCCTTGACCGGAATCAAACCCGGGACCTTTCAGGGCTAGGGCTGTATACACACATTTAAAAGGACCCCCTCCACTGGACCTCACTCCTCACAGGCAGGGATCACACGCATCTTCTTCCCTAATGTGTATTCAGAGCCTGAACAGTGCAGGTGCCCATCACAACCCTCCTCTGTCATGCCCCCTCTTACTTCTGTCAGTGGGGTCGGAACCTTACCTATCAGGGACTCGATGGTGGGCACCTCGCCAAGGTCATCCAGCAGCTCATGGATCGGGTCATTGTGCTCCGGGGCAATGGCGTCCTGGTGATCTAGCAGGAGCTGCATGAACACCACGGGGTCAACTCAATCTACACACTCGGCCCGTCAGCCCCAACCCTGCCCACACTGCCCACAGCACAAAAGAAGGTTAGATAACAAAGCTCCTACATTCAAAGGGCGGACAAGCCAATCCTCAGCAAGCTTCCCCAAACCAGCAACACATAAAGCCACACATGCAGTGCAGGGAAGGCCTGCGGAGGGGGCAGGAGCAGGGGAAAGAGGGTCAAAGAGGGGAGAAGGGGACATCTGCAATACTTTCAACAACAGAGATAAATTTACCAAAACACAAAACGAACAAACAAAAAACCATATCCTTGGTGGCTCAGTGGTTGAGCGTCGACCTATGAACCAGGAGGTCACGGTTCAATTCCCGGTCAGGGCACATGCCCGGGTTGTGGGCTGGATCCCCAGTGTGGGGTGTGCAGGAGGCAGCCCATCAATGATTCGCTCTCATCATTGATGTTTCTATCCCTCTTCCCCTCCCCCTTGTGCTCTAAAATCAATAAAAATGTATTTTTAAAAAATAGGGCTTGAGTAGGTATTTCTCCAAAGAGGATATGCAAATGGTCAGTAAGCTCATAAAAAGACTTTTTTTAAAAGGCATCACACTTGTGATGTGTGGCGGGAAAACACTGGCACTCTCTCAGCCTTACGAGTGTGGAGGGTTTAAATGTTCCCCGTGTAAGAAAGGACAAGGAAACCCTCAGACTTCAACATCCGAGGTCATCAACGGGCCCTAGGACCAGTTCAACTCACTCACAGCCACGTGTTTCCTTCCTGTTTCCTGTACACAATACCTTTAATTCAGAGAAAAGTACGCCCTGGCAGTGTTGTCGTTGGAGGCATTCAAGCAAAGCCGTTAAGATTATTATCTCAAATGATATCCTCAGAAATGACAATGCCCGAAATTTCGTTTACATTTTATATATTTTCCCATTTCCTGTTCTATATGCCACCAAAGGGGAAAGGAAGGAATTAAAGATATTTGGGGGGAAAGAGTGCAGCCAAGGGAAAGTAGCTCTAAGGTGACAAAGAGGAAAAAGCTGAAATTCTATTCATGTTAGAAAAATTACACAAGGAAAAAGAAGTAAAAGCCGGGGTAAAAAGAAGGAACAGAACACCAGTATGTTATCAAGTCCCCAGGTCAGCACTCCCATGGAGGTTCTGGGGTCCACCATGGGGGTTCCGGTTCAGGAGGCCTGTGGGGGGCCCAGCAACTTCATTTTTTATTTTTAAATATATTTTTATTGATTTCAGAGAGGAAGGGAGAGCGAGAGAGAGAAACACCAATAAGAAAGAATCACTGATTGGCTGCCTCCTGCATGCCCCCACTGGGATTCGAGCCCGCAACCCAGGCATGTGCCCTGACTGGGAATTGGACCCGTGACTTCCTGGTTCACAGGTTGACACTCAACCACTGAGCCATGCCAGCTGGGCTCAGCAGCTTCATTTTTAGCATCTTATTGGCAAACTAGAGGCCTGGTGCATGAGATTCATGCACTGGGGTGGTCGGGTGCGGGGGAGGTCCCTCTGCCCGGCCTGTGCCCTCTCACAGTCCGGGACCCCTCGGGGGATATCAGGCCTAAGCCAGCAGTCAGACATCCCTCTTGCAGTCCGGGACTCCTCACTCCTTATCGCCTACCTGCAGCGAAGGCATGAGAGGCTCCTGCCACTGCCTCTGCACTCACCAGCCATGAGCCCGGCTTCTGGCTGAGCGGCGCTCCCCCTGTGGGAGCGCACTGACCACCGACCGGTCGTTCCGCCGGTTTGGTCTAGTTGCATATTAAGCTTTTATTATATAGGATAGGATAAGGCAGATAAGTACTCTGATTCTGCTGCAGGTGGCCTGGGGGTCACTTTGAAAAGGTAGTAAATAGTGTTAAGAATAACAAACAGCAAGACAGAGGTCATGTCAGTAAGACCCATCAAAGGAAGTGAGCTATCTGGCTTCTGGAGGGAGTTAAGCAGCAGCCGGGGGAGGCAATTAAGGACAGAGCAATGAAATTAACTAGAGAAGAAGCCTCACCGTGTGGGTGTTGATGATTTCCCCGATGGAGATGTAGATCACGGGCTTGGTGAGGGTCACGAGGTCGGAGTATTCGTCCACATTAAACTTATCCTGCAGCTCTGGGACGTCGCAAGCAGTTTGGAAAAACCTCCTGGAGAGAAATACGAGAGCCAGACCCCAACAGGTGACACATGTGTGAGAAGCTGGCGAGAGAACATCCCACAAACCTCGGGAGCAAAGCGTTCGAGCGGAAGCCAGTCCAGACAGCTGATTCCGGAGAAAGTGCCTCGGGTTCCCCGTGCCTGGCAGCCTTGGGCCGGGGGCTCTAAACACTTCGCTCCCCACCCAGGTTTAGTTCTACCCATAGGAACCGCTCAACCAAACACCTGTGTCACCAGGAGAACCAACTCTAAGTCGATGCCCTGAACTCACAACTGAATGTTTAATTTACAGATATTAAAAGTGCTCTCCAGCCCAGCTGGCGTGGCTCAGTGGATAGAGCACCAGCCTGTGGACTGCAGGGTCCTGGGTTCACATCTGGTCAAGGACACATGCCCAAGTTGCGGGCTCGATCCCCAGTGTGGGGCGTGCAGGAGGCAGCCGATCCATGATTCTCTCTCATCACTGATGTTTCTCTCTCTCCCTCTCCCTTCTTCTCTGAAATCAATAAAAAAAAAAATTTTTTTTTAAAGAAGAAACAATTGAAAAGAAAAAGAGTGCAGTGATTTAAAAAAAAAAAGAGTATTCTCCAACTCTCCTCTGGTTACAATTCCACAGGTACACATTCTTACTATATATTTTTTAATTGATTTCAGAGAGGAAGGGAGAGATAGAAACATCAGTGATGAGAGAGAATCATTGATTGGCTGCCTCCTGTACGCCCCCCACTGGGGATCAAGCCCACAACCCAGGCATGTGCCTTTAACTGGAATCGAACCCGGGACCTTTCACTCCACAGGCTGATGCTCTATCTACTGAGCCAAACCAGCCAGGGCAGGTACACATTTTTTAGCTCAAAAATCCTCTTCCTCACGCCCTGGAGCTCTGGGCACATCCAACACGTGTCCCACAATGTGGCCGCCCAGGGAAAACGAGGTGTGGTTTTTAGTCTTGTCTTTACCTTCAGAGATAGACACACACCTGCAGAGTCTTTCAAGTACCCGATCCGCTGCCTCTTACCTGAATTTCTGGTAGGACTGGGAGAGGTACTCGTTAATGATGCTTAAGTGAGCGTTATCTCCCAGGAACATCTTGTTGGAAGCCGCGTGCTGGAGCATCTTGGCAATGGAGCCGAGGTTGCGGCGCTGGTCGGTGGTGAGCTGGCCTCCGGCCGACAGGTCGATGATGTCAAAGGCATCCGGAGCAACAATGGCTGGATTCATGTATCGATAGTACAGCAGGTTACCAATGATCTGGGGACAGACGACCAAGAAAGATGGGTGTTAAAAGCCGCTCCACCAAGGAAGCCACAAAGGACTCTATTAGCAAAGGAAACCAGAACACGCAGTCCTGTGAGGGAAAATGCGCGCTACACACACGGACACGCATGCACGCATGCACACGCGCCTGCTCTCAAGGTCTGACCCTAACAGGACCCAACGTCCCTTGTTTGGGTGCAGAGCAAAAGAAAATGAGACAGAACTGAAAAGCACTGCAACGGAAAGGACAGATTCAGGGGGAAATGACAGGCTTCACGTCTGTGAGCGCTGCAGGGCATCCTTCGCTCTCACATTATGGCAGCAAATATGGCTGCCACCCAAGCGCACTTTTCGCTTCCATGTGGGCGGACTTTCATTCGGAGAGGCTAACAAAGGCAGTTAAAATAAATCCTTAAACAGGACCTAGTTAGCACAGAGCGACCTGTCCGACCCCCATCGTGCTCATGCGGGAGAGACGTCACAGGTAGACAAGTTCATGCCTCAGAAATTAAAGTCACTCAACACACGGCTCTTCCGCAGAAGAATTCAAGGACAGTCACAGCATTTCCCCTAGAGCCATCATTCAAAAATACAAAATTAATTCACCTGAACAGAAAGCCTAGAAGCGAGGCCTCACTGTAGGAAAGCACAAGAACTAGGAGAGAGAAGAAAAAAGCGTTCAGGTTAAAAAAAAGAAGGAAAGAAAGGCGCATAGGCAAGTCAGCGTTACCAGCAACAGCCTCAGCAGAAACAGTTGTGCTTGGTCCCATTCACCTGGCCACCAGCAGAGGGAGCTATTTTCCAGCGAAAAGATAGGACTCAGAAATTTATCTCAAGACAGGAAGCATCCACCTCGACTTAATTGAGGCGGGCCATTCGAACACTATAGAAACTCAAAGAGGTGTCACTGACTATTTACAATCATGTTTAAAGTCTCACAATCCGTGGCGAGCTACTGCCGGAATTCAGGCTCTCACTAACGGTCTATGGTCAGGCCTCACTGTTTCCTCAAAGGTCTACCAGAAGGGCCGGGATGTGCCAGCTTCCCGAGTCTTACCTTCAGCAGCTCATCCTCACCAGCATCGGGGAACTTCTCATGTAGCGAGTCCTTCAGCACTTTGGCGATGAAGCGCATCCCGTAGCTGTGAGACGGACACAAGGCGTGAGAGGAGCCGGGGAGCAGGAGGGCACTCAGGCTGGGCTCTGTCAGGGGTCACGACGGAAGGCACTCACGGGATTTTGTCCACGGAACTGATGATGGCGGAGAGGAACTTGTCTGTCACAGCGCGCATGTTCCTGATGGAGTTGTCGAGACGTGTCTTGACCTCCTCGTGAGCCAGAGCCTGCTCGGGAGTCACGTCATAGGGGAGTTTGCTGGGAAAGCAGAAATTACCCCCAATATGGTTAGACCAGAAGCCAGGCAGTGCCTGAGGCAGGGCCACGCATTTCATGAACAGAAAGACCCAGAGAGACTAGGCAACTTGCTCGTGTTCATTGACCTGGTAAATGGTGGGGCCGGGATCTGAACTCGGGTTTTCGACTGTGAATTGGGTGCCTTGAATTATGTGCCCGGCACCATGATAGGCACTTGGGATGAATGGTGTATGGGACATGATAGCTTCTCTAACTACCTGGTGGGAGAGACAAACGGGCATTTATTTAAAACATATTGTGCTGTGTAAATGGCTACTTATTTTGTATCTACAATCTGGTAATGGATTTATTTTGTATATTGTAAAAAAAGAAAAAAGAAAAAAAAAGAATAAAAAGAAAAAAAAAACACACACAAAACATATTGTGCTATAAGTAAGAAGCTGACCATAGTGCTGCAGGCCCAGAGGGGCTTCTCCTCAGACTGGGGGAATCAAGGAGGGCTTCCAGGAGGAAGGGGGGGGGGGGGGGGGGGGGGGGGGGAAGAAGCGTCTTCTAGGAAGGAAGATCAAATGCAAAGAAAAGGAAGAGGAGAAATGAGGGTGGGGAAGTAAGCAGGGCCCGGTCACGCAGGGCCCTGCATATAATGCTAAGACGTCTGGACTTTCCTGGAAGCCAGGGAGAGCCGTTAGTAAGAACTCAGTAAATACCTGCTAAATAAATGAACATGTTACCAGGCCAACAATTTAATAAAGAGGTTTCTAAGGAAAAACTATTTGAACAATGATTAGCTTGTAAATCAAAGGTTAACTGCTTAGAGAGAGAGAGAGAGAGAGAGAGAGAGAATGAAACACAGGACAGGAAAGGGTGTCGTGGCTACACACCTTGCCTCTCCTGTCTGAGACTCCATCTGATTAACCCACGACTTGTAGATATCCACGGGGTCGGTTTTGATGTTGAGGGATTTGTCGTCCATAATCTCCTTCACGACCGGGGCCAAGATCTGCCGCAGGGCGTTCTGACCCCGAGCGCCACGGTTGAAACTGACAACCATCTTAATAACGGTAGGGTTTCCTGTCACGATCTCTTGAATCTGGTCCACTTTTGACCTATGAAAACATCAGAAACAAACTCAGTTTAAACTACACAGAATCTATGAGCTTAACGATCCCATCTCCTGGACACACATAATTGGAAGGAAGCGGGTACTTGTTATTTCTCTACTAACACTTGTCTAAACACAGAACACCTTTCTGCTGCTGCGAACACAATCGTGGGAGCGTAACCGGGTCCTTTATTAGATAGAAATGTGGAATCTTGGTGTTTGGATCAGCTTCTTAAAAATTATATTTTAAGGAACATCGGCCTGTGGACTAAAGAGCCCCGGGTTTGATTCCCAGTCAGGGCACATGCCCGGTTTGCGGCCTCAATCTCCAATAGGGGGTGTGCAGGAGGCAGCCGATCCATGATTCTCTCTCATCATTGATGTTTCTCTCTCTCGCTCCCTCTCCCTTCCTCTCTGAACTCAATAAAAATATTTTAAAAATAATAATAAAACAAAAAATAAAAAAGATTAAAGGTCAGTCTTTTAAAAAAAATTGTATTTTAATATAGAAATGTTCCTAAAATTAATTTAGCAAATTTATTACTTTATCACCTCCCTAGAATCTGCAACAGCACTTTATATTAGTAATTTAACAAGTAGATCCTTCTTTCGAGTAGTTCACACAAATCACAGCCTTGGCCGAGAGCATGAAGCGTACGATGCAGGCAGCCTGACTGTCCAGCCCTGAGCCTCTGACTCGGGGGGCATTAGGGGGGCTGGGGGGGCCTCCGTACTTGATCTCCTCCTGGAGCGCCGTCTTGAAGAGCCGCAGCAGCAGGTACTCCTCCCGCTGGTTGGAGGCGTAGTTGTAGAGGGTAAAGATCACCGAGTCCATGAACTTGGTGGACTTGTTCTGGGGCATCTGAAAAATCAGCTTGGCCAGATAGGTGGGGTTGGTCTGAAATGAAGCCAAGGGATTTAAGTCACTTCCAGATCATGTAAAGGCTGGCAAAAACATCCAAGGTTTTATAAACTCGAAGGATCAGAATGTATGTAAGGAAAGAAATAAAGAAAATGTAAAGAAAAAAAAGAAAGATAAGGCAGCTCTTTGCTCACCCCTCAGTGGAAATCAGAACTAGTTCCACAGAGATCTATGGGTAAGGTTATCTTATGAAAAGAAAATTAGCTACATTTTTCAGTGCCACTTCCAGGAGCCACTCACCTGCAATAAATAAAACAGGTGCTGATAAGCTTCCAATTTCTCTCTCTTCTCCTTGCTCAAAGCCTTGAGACCTCCCTTCTGTTTATTTAGCATCATCATATCAGACAACTGTTCCTTATTTTTTTTGGTAAGTTTTTTACTGTGGGAAACCACATCCTGTAAACACAAACCAACACATAAATCAAAAAGCTTTCAGAGACAAAGCAGGGCATTGTGGGTCTTTCGTGGCACTGGCGGATCCCTCCCAAGTCAGATGGAGTATCCTGTTTTCAATACATCAGTCAAATACAGTCCTACTCTCATCTTCCTATAAAGAACCTGATCCATAAAAAGATCCACTGACTCAGGAAGCCAACTCCTAGGAGTCTACCTGGAAGACAAAGCCTTAAATACGATAAAAGCTACATATACATCAAGACGTTCCCTGCAATGTTATCTGTAATAATAAAAACTTATCAAATAGTTGGGGGGAAAAAAGAGGTAAATTATAGTGTATCTTCTAATTAGTTATAACACTGCCATTAAAAATAATATTTACGACTGCCTGGCCGGCATGGCTCAGTGATTGAGCGTCGACCTATCAACCAGGAGTTCACGGTTTGATTCCCGGTCAGGGCACAAGCCTGGGCTGTAGACTTGATCCCCAGTGTGGGGCGTGCAGGAGGCAGCCAATCAATGATTCTCTCTCATCATTGATGTTTCTCTCTCTCTCTCCCCCTCTCCTTTCCTCTCTGAAATCAATAAAAAATATATTTAAAAAAATAATATTATGACTTTATCACATGGAAAACATTTTATCTTCTAATATGAAGTAAAAATGTCCGATAGGAAATGATTGTGGGGTGGTGGGATTACGGGATGGTTTGTATCTTCTTTTCTCTATTTTAAATGTTGCTATTAAATTACAGCATTTCATTCCCTCTGTAACTTTTTAAAAGTTTATGGCCTTCAAGGAGAAGGAAGCCATGAGTCAGCGAGGGTGAGGCAGGGAAGCCAAAGCAGGACACGCCCCGTGGCCCCGCCAGCTCTGCACACACCTGCAGCGTGATCTTGTTTTTCACCAGCAGTCCGATTTTGATATCCATGAGGTTGAGGTCGTTCTCCAGCTGCTGGTTGGAACGAATGAGGGTGATGACCTCCTCCCGCATCTTCATGAGATCCAGCTCCTCCTGGAAATCCTGGTCACTCTGGTCGAGCAGGTGGACAAACTTCCGCACCACGATCATCGGCGGGTCCTCGGCATTGACTGGCGGAAAGACAGCACGTGTCAGACGAGAACGAAGTTACCAGGATGAGTTCTCAGTCCCGAGGAATGTCAGGGTTATGGATGAGCTCTAGTCACAGGTGTTTGTTTAATTGTGAAATGAGCAAGGACAACCACGAGGCGCAGTGTTCTCGGTCACGCTATCGCTATGATGTGACAGAGGCTGACACGGTGAAGGACAGGACATGCAGCCACAGGTTAGCAAAGGGGGTTAACTCGCCAGCAGCCCCCGACCCCCAGGCTTGCCTGCAGGAAAGGAAAGAGATCCGTGGAGAATGCCCAGAACCTCAGGGCCTCCACGCCGCCTCCGCTGAGCCACAGTTACTCACTGAGAGTCTTGTAGTCGTCGCGAGCTTTGTTTGCCCGAATAAAAGCCTGGATTTTGACAATGTCATTTATCTAAGGAACAGAGAAGAAATGCTTTTGGTCATCTGTCCACCAGAAATATCGCAAAACGGATCCCATCGGCCCTGCTTCCCAAGGGGACTTACGTGATCTCGGAAGTACTGCAGGCGATCTCTATAGCGCTTTCTCGCCTGATGCATCCTCGCCAGGGACTGGATCTGTGGACAAAGGGCCCTGGAAGTTACAAAAGTCCTTCACCTCAACACAGGTCATACTGGCACCCCACACGGAGTGACCTGCCCCGGCTACCGTACCTTCACGACTTCATCTTTATGGGAGCGCAGGTACGCTAGACGGTCCTGATAGGCCTTCTTCTGCTTGTATCCTCTCCACTGCGACTGAAAGCATCAAATATTACAGTCGGCACATTGTTTCCCAGGGAAGAGAGGCAATTCCAACACCTCTCCTCGACATACTGTCCAAGTGCAATTCCTGACGAAGCTCTAATGAGGACCACGTCTGCAGTGACTGGGGAGTGTGGGCAGAGGCTTGTGGAGAGCACAGTGGCCAGCGTCCACTTCCCTGTTGTGAGCACAGCACGTCACACCTTTTAAAAGTGCCTCCAGCCCGGCCGGCGTGGCTCAGAGGTTGAGTGTCCACCTATGAACCAGGAGGTCACAGTCCGATTCCCGGTCAGGGCACATGCCCGGGTTGTGGGCTCGATTCCCAGTGTGGGGCGTGGAGGGGGCAGCTGATCAATGATTCTCTCTCATCATTGATGTTTCTCTCTCTCTTTCTCCCTCCCTCCCTCTCCCTTCCTGTCTGAAATCAATAAAAAAAATGTATGTATATTTTTTTAGAAAGTGCCTTGCCCTAGCCAGTTTGGCTCAGTGGATAAATCATTGGACTGCAGACTGAAGGGTCCTGAGTTCGATTCTGGTCAAGGGCACGTATCTCCGTTGCAGACACTTCCCCCGGCCCAGGCCCTGGTCGGGGCTCGTGCAGGAGGCAACTAATCGATGTGCTTCTCTCACATTGGTGTTTCTCTCTGTCTTTCCCTCTCCCTTCCACTTTCTCTAAAAAATCAATGGATAAATATCCTCGGGTGAGGATTAAAAATAAATAAATAAATAAATAAGCCTCCACACAGTCTTTTATTGGATCCTTATAATAAATCAGTGAGGAAGGGAAGGTAAACATTAGTATCCCCAGTCACAGAGGATGAAGCAAACTTAGAGAGGCTCACACCACTGGGCAGTGGGGAGCCCTGAGGCCCAGCACTGAATTCTCTCTGTGACATGTGCTGCCCGCCAGAAAACTGCCCTGGGCTGGCAGCTCCCCTCGAAGCACCGCGTCGGGCACACTGATGACAGTGGCAGCAAAGAGGAAACGCTTATCCGAAGAAGGATGAGACCGAGAGGCCAGGAGGAAAACACACCCACATTCGCCCCTAAGAATGGCGGTTGCTGAGCCCTGCTCTCGGCGCCCACCCGCGGCCTGTGTACGGGCTCTGAAATACCTGGATGCAGGTGATGGCGGGAATTTGTTTCTTCAGGAAATTCAACCTGGAACGGAACTCCTGTCGGACGAGGTACCCGCGGCAACAAGCCTGCAACTTGGTGATCAAGCCCTCGTTGGCCAGCCAGAGCTGCTCTCGGTTATACGCAGTCGTCACCCCGGAGATGGAACTCTGAAAGGCACGTGGTCACAGGGGAGACAGACGTAGGTAAGAAGGGACACAAATTTTAATGCGCCCGCAGCGCATAAACCAACCCTTACTGCTTTCTCGAACTGTTCTAGATCTTTGAGCAATGAATATGGCTTCAGGTCTATTTTTCAGGGCCAGGTGGTTCTCACACCCCAACAAGCCACAGACAAAAGCAACTTGACCTTCTTTCCTCTCCTATGTACCCTCTCATCTGCCCATCACTGACTGTGCCAGGCACCGTGCGTGGGTCATTATCGACAAGAAGACAGAGGAACAGGGGCCGACAGGGGGCTGAGTGCCCAGTCCCAGAAACCCCTGGAACGCCGAGGTGGAGGACACGCAGGGAAACGGCCAGCCTGCCTGTGACGAACAGGTTAAGGTCTAACACAGCACAGTCCGGAGTGGATGGGACAGTCTGAAAAGAGGGTGAAAATGTAAACTGGGGGAGGTGAACAGTAGGTGCGTTTAATGAGGAATTGGAGCAACTTTTCATTTTTCTCTTCTAGGCATCCACGTTTTCTTTAATAAGCACACAATTTGTCTGACTTAAATTCTACAATAGTGATGTTTTCCTAATTTAGGCCTTAAGTCACTCCTCCAACCACTAGACAAATAATTACTCTAAGCCTGGTCATTACGTAGCCTCAATTTTAGGCTAAGGCTTCTGACCACAGGCCTGTTCCTCCAAACACACGTTCAGCTCCAACACGCTTGCGCTCAGCTCCTTCCCCGAGGAAAGGCGACCTACCTGGATCTCCTCCCGCGAGAGCTGCGTGGAGTTCTGCACAAAGCCTGGGGGCTCATCCCATCCTCCTTCCTGCGTGTCCAGGTTGTGGTAATAATAATATCCGCCTTTCACCCAGTGCTTCACCCACTTGCTGTTGTTGTCGCCTGGTGGACAGTAAAGGAAAGATTAAAAGGGACCCAGAGTCACGCTCCCCACACGCATGTGTCCGATGCGACAGGATGATTCTGACCAGGTTCACCCATCTCCCAGAAGACCATTCCAAAATCCCGCTCCTTGGATTAATGAGAGCAAAGGGGCATCCTAAGTCCCTCTTACATTATGGCTTTGCGATGCCTTTTAGCTCACTCACATCTACATTATAAAAAGAAAATACCGCCCTAGCCGGTTTGGCTCAGTGGATGGAGCATCAGCCTGAGGACTGAGGGGTCCTGGTTTGATTCTGGGTAAGAGGCAGCCAATCAATGATTCTCTCTCATCATTGGTGTTTCTCTCTCTCCCTCCCTCTCTGAAATCAATCAAAATATATAAATTTATTTTTAAAAAGGCCATAAAAAGGGATGAGAATCAAATCTTTATTCCCCTTCTTTTGCAGATAAACTCCTTCTATCTATCTCTAGGCTTAGATACTGTAGCAGTTACTGACACCCTATAAAAGATGAACAGTCAAATATTTTTTATCCTTCTGGCATTTTCAGAAAATGGACCTTTTTATTTTTATTTTTTTTAAATATATTTTA